CCGGCCGGGTCGGTCCGGGTTTTAAAATACCGGCTGTAACGGTTTTTTTCAAACAACATTGTATAATCGACCATAACATGAAAGAAAACAAACCTTTAACCATAATAAATCTTTCATTATGGTTCTCCTTTATGACCAAGATACTAATTGATGTTTGAGACGTATTCTCTTTAATTACTTGCATTTAGGCTGAAACAATAAACATAAGCAACCATGGCCAGTGGCTATATCCAATACTCCCACTTGTATCTTATCCAATTGCAGGGCTCCAATTGCAGGGCCAGATGCAACTGGCAATTGTCCAAGAGGCCCATTACGAATATGAAGTTGACTTTTAAGCAAACCAAAGAGCTTGCATTGGTTCAATTTCATTTAACTAAGATGGCAAGTTCACTTGAAAAACAAAGCCGTATAGTTGTTGAAGCAACTTCCATCCAACTACAAAGCGACCTTAAACTTTAGAGTTAGGTGTATTGTCGTGGTGCCTATCACACAACTAATTGATGTACCTAATGCTATTTTTTTAAAAAAGTTGATAAGCCAACCTTCTATTTAATTAATATCTTATTAATTGTCTTTATGAAATAAGCATTGCAAACCCAAATCAGTCTGTGTTTCTTTGCATCAGAGTAGCCTTCATAAGACAAATTCTGGCGTATATATATAAGAGTATTGTACCAAGCCAATGAGACCACGACAATGCAGTGGCAATTGAATCTCTATCGTCAAATGCAACTAAACAAACCATTTTTATAATGGACTAGGCATATTTGTTATTATTCTTTAATTAAAATAATAAAAGTTGGTATAGATCATTATTAAGATAAAATTATAATTTTAATATCATAGAATAATTCCAAAATCATTAAAATTGTTGAATATTCGGAGTTCACACATACATCTTCACATTAGTACGATATTGTCCATTTTTTTGCATAAACTCTCATAGTTTTATTTTTAGTCTTCAAAAAGGTCACATATCAATGGAGACTATGTGTATTTTATAAATCTTTATTTTTTTCTCATAATTCAGTGATGTAGAACTTTGTTTGTACTCTAACAAACATCTCCTCAAACAAAGGATCATAGTTTTTAACCTCCCCTTCAATGAAAACCTTTTTTTTTTCACCTTCGAGTATTTAATGATGGTCTTTAGAGCTTTAGTCACACTTGTTGGCTTTAGATAACTGCCATTAGTTTATATCAATGGGACATACTACTTGACTTCCACACTATCAGGAAGACTTTCAACACAAAAAATATCACACTTGGATTTACTACTTCCTATTGTCAAATACTCGTCTGAAATTTTGAGTTATTAGTTACTTATTTGACCATTATCTCTGATATCATTATTGTGCTCCGAGGATTTTAATACACATATCTTTACATTAATATAATATTGTTCATTTTTTGAATTAAATTCTTATTATTTTACTTTTGATCATCTCCTAAAATATCTTATACAATAGGAATTATGTATTTTATAAATCTTTATTTTCTTCTCGTAATCTAATAATGTAGGAGATTGTTTGTATCCTTACAAAAATAAATCATTGAATATAAATTTTGTTCTTGTTATCTTTTTGTGAGTGACTCTTTGACAGTTGTTGCTAATGTATCCTCAATTGGAATCGGGAAACTTGACTTCATTAAAGAAATCACAATTTTGAGTGCCATAAAATGAAAAGGCAAGACCAAAAAAGAATTATTTTTTACAGGCTCCAGCCAGGAAGTGAACAAAAACAAAATGTTGCAATGGAAAGGATGATAAATACCCAGAAGGAAGACGAAACAATTGTGACTACATGATTGATTCTGAGTAGCTTATAGTAATCTGGTTGAGAGAACGAGCAACTACTTAAGTTGAAGAAGAAGCACCTGACCCAGAAGACGAGTGATTATTCTTACAATACTGCACACTACTCTCATCCATCCTTTCCAACACATAGTGCCCCAAATCCTCACTTGCCTCCAACAAATTCTCATTGCATAGAAATTCACTCCCACAAACCTTCTGCACTTCCCCGGAGAAGTCATGCAGAAACACATGAGTCTTAGGGTTTCCACCCTTCTTGCTCCTGGCGAGAACGCCAGCGGTGAAAATCGCTGACATTCTGCCAGGAGCGTCGGGCCAATCACCACGTGGCCCGTCCACCAATATGACATCCCAGTCAACCTCGTATACATGGTTGGGGAGGTCATTGAGCCCTAGTTTGCAGTCAGAAAACAAAAGATTCTGCACTGGCTTGCACTCGTTGGCAACCTGTTCTTTAGCTGAAGCTATGAGCTCCTTCATCTCGCTCCTTTTGGTGGTGTATTGCACGTCGTAAGCATCGATTTCTGGGTGCAATTCTTCGTAATACGCAGCGTAGTAACGGTTTTCGTCGATGAAAACGGTTCTTCCGTTGTGGTTGAGGGCTTTCCAGAGAAGGGTTTCGGGTGTGAGGCCAAAGATGAGGAAGTTGCATGGGGATGAGCACTTTCGAAGCACGTTAGAGATGGGTTTGAGGTCTGAGTGTGGCATGCGGTAGGTGTCGTTGGATTTTGAGGCATAGTGGAGGAGAGTGTTGATCACTGTGGCTGGCAAAGGAGCACTTTCGAGACCAGAAACTGAGGCATTGGAAGATGCAATCACAGAAGAAGTTGCGTTGGTAATGAAGGTGGACTCCCTTGTGTAAATGAGGGTGACAAGGAAAACAAGGGTGAGGATTGATACGAAGGCTAGAAGCCATAGTCGATTGGAGCTTCCTTGCTTTTGGATATAAGGGTGAAGGAGAATGAGTTTAGTGTTGGTGTTTGTGTTCTTCATTATGGTTTAGTTTAGAATCTCTCTCCTTTCTGTCTGTACCCTGAGAGAGAATTGAGAAATAAGGCTTGGTTTTAAAGAAGTTGGAATAGAAAAAGAGAGAGTTGAAGCAATGTGTGGGGAAAATTTTTTTGAGAGTGACCTTGCATTATACATTGACCCTCCTACAAGCCTCTAGAGTAGTAGAACTGAAAATAACGTTAATGAAAGAGAATTAGTTTTAATTTGTTTGAGCTGAATTTGGTCTTTCTTTCACTCTAATTAATTAATTCCTAATCGAGATTGTTTATTTTATGAAGCATATGGTTCATGCTAAACCAAAAGGGGTTATGTAGAAGGGTACTGCGTTGGAGTGGTTGGGGCTGTGGTGAGAACGAAGGTAGAGACAATAACCTTAGCGACCCAGTAACTAATTGCAAGCCAGAGGTCACTTTTCCTTGTTGATTTAAAATGTTATTCCTACGTAACCACCCTTTAGAATATTGGCAATTTCTTGGACAAATAGCTACCCCTGAAGGTGACAATGTACCTGCAATGACACATGTGATAATCGTGTTTGTAGTTAGTAGTAGTGGTGGTGGTGGATATACTAACACGTTGAGATGATTTCATAGTATAAATCACAGGGTTTCTTTCTATGCAGAAGCATATTTTTCAGCTTGGTACTTCAAGAGTCAAAATATGTCGATACCATTGTGAATAACTCTGCAATATCGTTAACGTGTTCTATCCGCCGATAATTATTTAGTAAAGTAGCTATTATTAATTCCTAATTTCATAGAACTGATTCTTTTATTGCTATGAATGCGATATTTTCTTTTATATTTATGGATATATATAAATACTATTATTAGCAATTCGGGAAGTCCTTTCGACTGTTTTCTTTTCTAGAATTTGAATGGTATTTTAAAAAATCAAAATCAAACCGTTTATCACCAATTTGAGAATGAATGACAACAAATAAAAATTTATATAATTAGTATAATATAGAGTTTTTGATTTAGTATCTCCTTTGTGGATTAGTATAGATAGAGATCTGTCGCTACCTGAAATAACTCTTCATAAGTGTAGAAATAAATTAAATAATGCCACAGGACATGAGTTTTAACGAAGAATAAAAGTTGGGCCAAAACATGAAATGGACAAATCTTTATGTAGCCCTAGGAAAAAGGCCCAAGATTTTGAAGGGCCTATTTTTCAGGGTGTTCTGAAGATCCAACAACTGAATAAGCATAAAAACCTCAATAAGCTCTATTTGACTTGTTCTATAATCCCTTCCCCTCCAAAAGAAAACTTGAGCCCTTGGGCATGGCGTGGGAAGATGCTTTTGTGTTATATATTATTCGAAAGAAACAGTTATCCCTTTTTGTCAACATTTAACAAAGTGATACACTGCTCAGTTAGCAAAAAAAGAAAAGAAAAAAGAAAGTGATCTCCTGACACTTGCTTAGACTGGATCACCCGTGCGACTTTAATCAAAGTGCTTAATTTTTTTTATTTTATTAAAAAAAAGAATTTTCTTTGCATGTTCATGGCATTTGTCAAAATGCCTTTGGCATAAGTGATCATTATTAACTATCCTTCATACTTTGGTGCACGAAATAAATAGTGACGTGATATTGATGGAGTGTGTGCCCCGTTTTGGGTCAAGTAGTTATCTGAAGTGGCCATTCAATTTTGTGGGAAAGAAGAAAGAAGAGAAAAAGAGAGCAACAAGCAGGGACCTCCACGTGATATAAAGGTTGGCACATATTTTAAGCATGTCTAATTATGGATTGCATTCATTGGCATTCTGAAACATGAAAAGAAGATTCTTTTCGGAATCGACAATTGCATACATCTAAGGGTCATCACTATATTCAATCATCTGCAAACAAACTCAATTTGGCCATTTGGGACTTCGGAGTCCCACATTCTCAAATGTTATGAATTAGTGTTATGCATGAAGTACATCATTGTTATGTAACATTACCATTGTGTGTCAGAATTTGTTTTTATAAATTAGGGGTGTTTTTCAGAACTTTTTATTAAAAAAAATCTAATATAGAAAAAACGTTTCTAATTTTGTATCTAATAAGTTTTTAATAGTCGTGAACATAAGCCTATGCCAAATAATCGCAAGTGACAAATAGGTTCGAACTCAGAACTGGAATCCTAAAGAAGGAGTAAATTAAGGAACAAGGATTCAGAAGAGGAAGAGTATTTGCTATCATCGGTGGAGGTTTATACGCTGCTGCAGAGAAATAAAATTTCTATATGGAAACATCATGAGAGTGGTCATCACAGCAAATTAAGTTTTAAAGAATATTCCATCATTATATTATATTATATTATATAAAAGAAAAAATTTATTTACGTTAAAAAGTAAATTATTTAGATTTACTTCACTTAATAATTCATATTTTACATTAAATTTTAACGATTCAATTATTAAATTAAAATGTTTTAATTATAAATTTTTAAAAGATTTGAAAACTATTTAATACTTGGTTTTATTAATCTAAATTGACAAATAATCATAAAAATATTTGATACATTAATTTGAATTATGAAACGAAGTATCAAATAATTTTTTTTTAATTTATAAATTTAATCTATATATTAAGAACTTTTAATTCAATGGTTGAATCGTTAAAATTTGATGTAAAAAATAAGTTATTAAGTGGAGTAAGCCTAAGTTGACTTACTCTTGGAATAATTAGATCTATTATATATATATATATGAGAATAAACCCGTTTACTCCAGGAGTACTATTTAATAATTCATATTCTACATCAAATTTTAACAATCTAATCATTAAAGTTAAAGTTTTTGATGTAAAGATCAAGTCTACAAATTTTTTAAAAATTTAAAAACTATTTGATACTTCATTTCATTAATTTATTAAATCATTTGATACTTCATTTCATTAAACCCTAAATCCTAACATTTGAAAATCATTTGATACTTCTTTTCATTAATGAAAAGAAGTATCAAATGATTTTCAAATTTTTAAAAAATTTGTAAACTTGATTTATGCATTAAAAACTTTAAATTCAATGGTTGAATCATTGAGATTTGATGTAGAGCATAAGTTATTGAACGAAATAAGTCTATACACTTACTTTTAGAATAAATGGATATTTCTTCA